GCTCAGCCGGGGTCGCAGGGAGGCGGAGGGCACCCGGCTGGTGCTGCCTGATGCCATTAAGTCCGCCCAACTTGCCTCTGTCCGTCTCCATGCCAGCGAGAAAGCTCCCGGGGAGGGTTTCCCTACAGGGCAGGGAGCACCCTGTCCAGCTGGCACACAGTTTTAGGTATTGCATGAAGTTCAGCCTCCCTGGCATGCCCAGCGCTCCTTTCCAAAGCCACGCCAACCTGGCTGCACATGGATTGTGCCACGTGTTGGAGTTACACCAGCTGCTTTGGTCTCTAGTCATGGAACCAGTTACCAAGGTCCCAACAGCGACGCCCACTTATAGCACAAGGTTGGCCAATCGCTTATGAGATGGCTCACGTGGAACCCGGCCCAGTGCGAGAACGCATGTGAGATGGTGACAGTGTCTAGGGGTCAGAACCTTCGGGGAGGAGGGCACAGTGAATGGAGGCAGCTGGCCCTGCGTCGTCACCAGTGGAAGGCCATTGTTCCAGTGCTCCCAGGTCTGCAGGATGCCTTAGTCACGGGAGAACTTGGTCCAGGACAGCATGCATTCCTTTAGCAGGTTTTGGGCTCGTCCTCTTTGCCTGTTTAGCCTAACAGTAAATTCTCATCACCTCAGGACACCTGGTCTTAGATTTTCTTTGCACCTAAAAGGGCCTGCCATGTCCCCCGGAAATTATATTCCAGAGCGCGGTTCATGTAAGTTGATTTTGCGAAGCCTGATCGACCCGGATCCTGAGCAAACGGAAGACTAGGTTCTGAGTCGTGGCAAGTCCTTGTCTCTACCGCTCAGCCACCTCTAGTTCAGCTATATTTACTGGATCTGCAATCATTTCTAAAGGGCTCATTAACCCACAAATTTGATTTCTCATCTCTTAGTGAGATACAGGAAATGGGCATCCCTCCCCTACTCTGGCTAAGGGGCTATTTGGAATTTGCTATATTTGATTTTTCATTGAACTTCAACCTTGGATTTATTTTGGAGACTGGGAACAGTGGCTGCCCTGGAGAGAGAGCGAGAGAGAGAGAGAATAAAAGGGTGAGAAGAAGAGAAGGACATGTGTGTTTGGGGGGAAAGTAGCCTCTAACATCATGGACTAAGTTAACAGACACGAAGGCACACAGTGGGAGCATCTCTACGAAGGAACAGAGAAACCAGAAAATGCAAAAGTGCCTCCAGTTAACCAGCCCTCACCTTCCTTTAGCCCTTCCCAAGGCGTCACCTCACTTAGTCCTCCTGGCAGCCCTACAAGCTGGAAAACACAGGCATTCGTTTATATTTCACATACAGGAAACTGAGGTCAGAGAGGTTACCCATGGTCACAGGATAGGGGCAGAATTTGAACCTGCCTGTACTGCATGGAGGTTAAGAACACACGCTCTGGAGTCAGCACAGCCAATTTCAACTCTCAGCTTCTCCAGACATTGGCTAGCTAGAGGGCCATGGCTAGTCACTAATCTCTCAAGGCCTCACTGTCCTCATCTGTAAAATGGGGATAAAAATGCTACATACCCTATGATTGTAGCAAGTAATACAAGAGATAATACATTAAGGGTGTTTAACACTGTGCCAGAACACAGTTAAGCACATAATAAATGTCCCTTCTTCTCCTTTGTGTTATCCTATATAATAAAAGCATAATATGCAAATTGACCAGTCGGGGGGGGGGGGGATGGGCCAGGGAGCAGGCAGCACCAGGCCAGCCAAGGCATGTGCCAGCAGGCACAGGAAGGGGATAGCAATGGGGGAGAGGGGGAGGTGGCAGCAACCAGAGGTGGTGGAGGGGCGATGGGGGGGGGGGTGCAGGGGGCGGGGCCGTGCCAACCCGCACTGTCCCCTGATCAGCTACCTGGTTGCCCCCTGCAGAGGGAGGCCAGACTGCAGTTTAGGCCCACTCCTCACTAGGGGGAGCAGGCCTAAGCCATCAGTAGGACATCCTCAGAGGGCTCCCAGGCTGTGAGAGGGCGCAGGCCAGCTGAGGGACCCCTTGAGTTCACGAATTTTCGTGCACTGGGCCTCTAGTTATTTTAATAATAGTAAATACCCACATGTGTCTGGCCCCAAACCCAGTGCTCATTCTGCTGCAATCCACTGCATTCATTGATTTTTTTCCTTTCCCCTTGCCACGTATATTCTTCTTTTCTTTCTTTCTCTTCTCCAGTTTCCTTCACCTTCCTTCCTATCACACATCAGTAAGCACACACACCTGCCTCACTACACTTTATCTCCATCTGTCTGAGTCTTTCCCACTGACGTTTACTAGAGCCGCAGGGACTCAGAGAAAGGCGAGGAGAGCCTGCCATGGCCTCTGCATGAGTCACCCTTCGGCGGAGAGCTCAGTCTTCCCAGCTCGAGTGTTATTGCTTTCGGTTTGCCTGTTCCTGCCCCGAGCCCATAGGTCGGAGTGTCTCCGGTAGTTAAGCGAGTTAAATGTAATTTCCCTGTTTGGGGTTTCAGTTGAGTTTGGAGGTTACAGGAGGGACAAGCTGCGTTAGGCGTAGCCAGTGAACGGCCATGTGATGCCTTTCACTTCGGAATTAATTCCCTGGATCAAGTGCCCTTTCTGGCAACAAGATAAACAGGTTCCGCTAGAGGTTTGGCGGATTGGCTTGGAAGCCCTTTAGCACCGCGCTCACCTCCATCCACCCCAGGCCCCGGCCCTGGCAGGAGACAGTGGCGGGCATTGTGTGCTCGCCCAGGCTTCACACCCACCGGGGACCTGGAAGACAGACGCTGTGGACACTGCACAGATCTCTCCGCAGACCTGCAGGGCCGGGCCAAGAGGCTCCTCACGCCTGCGCCCAGGGGCTACGGAAAAGGCTTCTGCACCCACCCTCACGATTCAAACTCCCGAAACGGGGCAGGTGGAAACGGCTGGCTGGCAGAGGCTCTGGGGCCATGTGGGGCTGTGCTGGCGTCTCTTAAGCAGTTGATTCTGAGAAGCCTTTCTTCTACGGCCATTGCCGTTTCTAGAAGAGTTCCAGGCCCTGGTCGCCTTTGCTGTCCTTCCTGCCCTCCTCCATGGGCCCAGTGAAGGGCTTCCCACTGACTTGTCAAATCCTCTAATAATGTGTAATTAGTTTGGATTTTTTCCAAGAAGGAGATTTCTCTGGGCTTTATTTTTATTGTTGTTGTATCGAAGTCTGATTTACAAACAGTGAAGTGCTCAGATCTTAAATATATTGTGTAATTGGTTTAGACAAAGGTGTACACGCTTGTGTAACCCACACTCCTCATCGCCCCAGAAAGTAGCATAACTTTTTAAAGTAAAACCCAGAAAATAAAAATAAAAAAAAGTAAAACCCAAGGCCATTCTCTGTGGGTCTTTGATAGAAGTAGCCACTTCCATTTCACAGAATTCTAGCGATTGCATTAGCTAAACAAGTAACTCGGCTTTTAAATTTTTTTTTTCTTTTTATTGAATTGATTGGGATGAGGCTGGTTAACAAAATTCTACAGGTTTCAGGGGCACAGTTCCACAGCACATCATCTGACGCTGTATTGTGTGCTCACCACCCCACGTCATTTAGAACGTTACCTTCCCGTTTTGTCTTACTTTTCAAATGGGGGCAAAATGTAGAGGTCACTTGATCATGTGCCCCTTTATGGTGAAACGGCAGCTCAGAGAGAGAAAGGCAGCTGCTAGAAGTCACTCTGCCTGGGACACCCTGCCCCCAGGTGGCCCTCCTGGCCTCCTGGCTTCCAGGTGCCTTCTCTCTGGGAGGCTTCCCTCCTGGGGCTCCAGGGAAGTGGAATGCACCAGGACTCCGCTGTACCCCACCCTGGGATGCAGCCTTTACAGAGGCCTGTGTATTGCAGAAGAGCTTTCCGTCTCACTGACAGAACATTTTCGTCCATTTGTACCCATTCCTTCTTGCAGGCCCCACCCCCACCCCCACCCCACCCCGCACTCCCCAGATCCTGCCACCACAGTCTCAGCGGGAGATGGGGGGAGTGAGGGGAAGACCCTGCCTGCCTGGGCTCTGCAGGCCTGGATGCCATGGCCCGGCCCACCGGGGTCAGGAGGGGGTCCCACCCACGCCGGGGACAGGGGTGCCCAGAGCTGCAGCGGGCCAAATGGACAGCGGGAGGTGCTGCTGCTGTGGCAATGAACGCGGAGATCTCCTTTAGGGATCCTTTACAAAAAATCATTTTAATGACCGTGCTGACCTCTTAACTCGAGGCCATCTGCACTCGCCTGGAGCAGATACTCCTAAAATGCCACTCAGTGTCTGTCTGTGTCTCTCTCCTGCCTTCATTCAATTGTGCAACTGTGTATCCCTGCTCAGACCCCGCTGGCAGCGTGGGAAACAGTTGACAGCGCTCCTTCCCGCGTTCCCCCCGCCCCCCGCTCCCCTCTCCAGGGTACTTTTTGTATCTTATGAGAACTTCCAGTAAGGAGCTATTTTGGGTGGTTGAGGGAGCGGGTCAGGACAGGGAGGGGCCAAGCCCGCCGGGGCCAGGAGAAGTATTCAGAGGAGTATCTACCTTCCATTGATCTACACTTGTCCTTCCCCAACTTGATTGCTCCTGGGAACCACGGGGGAGCTTTAAAGACTAATGATGCCTGGATGTCAGCGCGCAGGTCTGACTCCGTGATTCTGGGATGCCGCCCGGGCATCTGGGTTTTTAAGCTCCCCCGGCTGAAAACCACTGAAGTAAGCTCCTCCCTCCTCTTCCCTCTCCGACACAATCAGATTCTCGGTCCAGGTCCTTGGCCCTGGGGATCGGGCCCCTATCCCTTCGCAACCTGCCAGCTCCGCACGGTCCCGAAAAATCCGCGCGCGCGACCACGCCAAACATGACGCGGCGGCGGGCGGGGCGGGGGCGTGGCCGCGCGGGGCCCCGCCTCCTGTACGCCTATCGGCGAGCGGTGCGGGCCCTGACGTCACTCTTGTCAGGGCCGCGGCACATGGGTGGCCGGATGCGCTGAGCCCGGCGCTGCGGGGCCGCGGGGCGCAGGGGATCAGCGGCCACCCGCGCGGGGAGGGGGTGGGGTGGGACCGCGCGCGGCCTCGGGTGCTGGCGGGACGGGGCCGCGTTGGCGCGGTGTCTTCCGCCCTTCTGCGATCCTCTGCATATTTTGTCTTTTTTTTTTTTTTTTTTTGCAATTTTAAACATTTTGCAAGGCGGTGGGTTCAAGACAGGTGAGAGCATCCCGCAGGTCGCCGTCCAGGAGCCGGGGGGCACTTGGCGCGCTCTCCGGAGACAGGCTGCACTGGAAACCTGAAAGTTTTTGGCTTTTATTTTTTTATGCAGATGCACTTATAAAGATATAAGTACATTTTTGTTCTTCCCTTGTCTCCAAGCGAGTACTTTTGGCAAAGGACGGAGGAAAAAGCTCAGCAGCATTTTGGGGGGCGGTTGTTGTATTTTTTTTTTTAAGAAAAATATTTGCATCGCAATGGAGAAAATGTCCCGACCGCTCCCCCTGAACCCCACCTTTATCCCGCCTCCCTACGGCGTGCTCAGGTCCTTGCTGGAGAACCCGCTGAAGCTCCCCCTTCATCCTGAAGACGGTGAGCGCTGCCCTCCTGGCTGCCCCGCTCTGGGAGGGAACGACGCTCCTGGGGTCCCCCTCCTTCACAGGGCACCCCCCTCCCCGCAGCTAGCTGGCTGGAGCATCCATCTCCCTCCGTTCCCAGGGACCCTGGCTCTGCTTTAATGACATAGAGGAGCTCACCCATCACCCCACCTCTCCTCGAAAAATGGGGACCCCCCCCCTCACTGTGCAATGTTTAAAATAGTGCTGGGGACCCGGCCCGGCCTCCCTGGGTCCCGCTCCGGCTGCGCGGGTGGGAGATGTAACTTGACAGGTCAGTGTTTCCCTGTCTGAGGCTTAGGCGCCCGCAGGGAGAAACCGCCCGCTCCAGGGCAGAGCTTAGGCTGGGGGAGGAGAAATCAGGGGGCTTGCTTCCGAAGGGGTGGGGGCCCGAATGGGGGCCTCACTGCCTAGGCCGAGTATTGGGATCATATATTGTTTCTGTTCTTAGCTCGGATTTGGAGCTCACGAGGTGTGCGCGGAGACCCTAGTTCTCCAAGTGAAGAGTAATTGAGAAGCGGGGGAGGGGGGGAGCAGGCGGGGGGGGGGCGGGGATGGGGTGAGGGGTGCTGTCTCTCAGCGGGAAGCCGTGCACGCCTCCAGCGCCGACACTCGCCCGCTGCACTTTTCTCGGTGGGAGGGGAGCGAGGAGCAGGCTCACGTGTAGCCGCGCGGGAGCCTCCTCTGGCCTGAGCCCTTTCCCGGTAAGTCCCAAACCTTCCCCCCGCGGCCTTGGCTGCAGCGGGACCTGACGGAGGGGTCAGGGGTCGCTCAAGGAGGCGCTGAACCCAGCTGGTGCCGCCAGGGATTTGCATTTGGGCTGATCCCAGTAGCAAATGCAGACCCTGTGTGGCTCGGAGTGTAAGGTCCAGATCCTTTGGCTGCGAAGAGCTTGGGCGTGCTCGCATCTTCTTGCATCTTCTTTCCTGACAGGGGCCAACCTGTTGCATTGCACAAGTTGAGGGGTTCCTTCTTGGTCTGCAGAGCACAGCTTTCCACGGAACTCGCCTTTAAGGAGTAGCTCTTGGCAGGGAGGTGCTGCCTGCAGTCTTTTTTGCATCCGTGGGTGTTTTAAGTCAGATTCTCAGGAGATGAGACTGTAGAGGATTAGAATGGATGGCGGTGGAGGCTGTGTTTCTCCGAGGAAGAAACTCAGAAGCCAAATTCCTTAATCCCAGATTCCACCGGCGCCTGAGTACTAGACTTGGCAAAATTCTGAGCGCTGGTTACAGCCCTCCTGGGGGGAGGCAGTGCTTCCAGGTAAAAATTGCTGCACACCTCCATCATAGGGATGCCAAGTGGCCACCTTCTCCGTTAGCTGTGCTTTCACAGCTTGTGTACGTGTGTAATTTTTGTGAATCAGGTCATACTTATGTGTTTAGGGGAAGAGACTGAAAACACTTTGTATTTTTTAAAAAAAGAGAGAAAAGAAAACTCGTTTTGTAAAATCCAGTGTAGCCCAGTGGATTTAGAAGCAAAACCTGAGCTTAGGCGGTGTTCTCAGTTGTCTTCTGTGCCAATATGAGGCGTTGGTCAAGTTCCTTCCGGCTTAGAGCCTCCGTGTCTTCATTATAAATGGGGGTAATCACGATTTGCAAGTTGGTTCTGAGAGCTGGGGAGTTAATATATGGAAAGAACCGGGAATGTACTAGGTGCTCAATACACGGTTTCAAAGAAGGGTGGGGAGTCCCTGCTTTAGCAGAATTAGAGTCACCAACTCCCCGGCTTTCCACGTCCGAACGACTTCATGTTGTTACGGTGATGACTTTCCCGGATGCTAAATCATACCTGGTTATTGCCCTTTTCCTTAAAAATCCCAGCAGTTTTATATAACTGCAGGTGTTACTTCCCCACTGTGGATTTAAATGATTTGCCTCCTCAAATAACGCCCCAAAGACTGTGCCCTCTTGTTTACGTCCCAGAGCAGTCTGTCTCCCTGACCCAAGGACCAGCGCTTTCTTTCCAAAGTAAATAGGAAGATATTGAAAAACAGGCCAAGATCCATGTCCTGCCTGAACTTTTAACTCTAGATCCACAAAAGCCGGCGGCCAGACAACCCTGGTGTTTGTGACCAGTAGCTTTGTAGCAGAGGCCGGGAGAGGTGGTGAAAAAGCCCGCACTATTCCTTTGTTAAATCCGACTCTCCCCTTTCCCCGCAGCGTTTCATAAAGACAAAGACAAGGACAAGAAGCTGGACGATGAGAGTCACAGCCCGACCATCCCCCAGTCCGCCTTCCTGGGACCCACCTTATGGGACAAAACCCTTCCCTATGACGGAGACACTTTCCAGTTGGAGTACATGGACCTGGAGGAGTTTCTGTCCGAAAACGGCATCCCCCCCAGCCCTCAGCACGACCAAAGCCCGCACCCCCCGGGGCTGCCGCCCGCCTCCTCCGCTGCCCCCTCCGTGGTGGACCTCAGCAGCCGGGCCTCTGCACCCCTTCACCCTGGCATCCCGTCCCCGACCTGCATGCAGAGCCCCATCAGACCAGGTAACCTCTCCGAAGGCTCTCCCTCCGGACTCCAGGCGGGGAGGGGGGCTAAGGGAGAGGTGGGGAGGGAGGGTAAACTTCTTCATTGGGGGACTTAGCTCGCTCTGAAAGAGGAGCCTCGTACAGGGTGGGGCAAAGGTGGGTGTACAGTTGTTCATTTGGAAAATGGTGCAGGGATGAATAAATGCTCATACAAGAGTAAACCCCGTTTGGCGCGCTCACCACTGTGCACCTGCTTTTGCCCCATGCTGTTCCACCCCCAGCAGCCGTGGTCCCACTCCAGTGAGTGTCTGTATCACCTGGGGAGTTGGCTGAATGCAGACCAACCCTGGAAATGCTGGGTTTTCAGGCCTGGGGTCAGGGCCCAGGAATATGCACTTTAACCAGCTCCCTGGGGGATTGGATGCAGTTGGTCCAAGGATGGCAGTTTAAGAAACACCAGCTGACAGGTGGTGATTTGGAGAATTCAGGATCCCTCTCATCTCCTGCCCCTTGTCCGCATCCCCCAACTCCCCGGATACGAGGCTCTTGCTCAGTGATGTGTGGAGACTCTATAAGGCAGTGGTTTACTTATGTCCGCCCTTGTCTGGCCTAAAGGGGAAAATGATGTGAGTTAAGGGTGTGGAGCAGAGAGCCTTTTTATCTTTTCATCTCTCATTGTCACGACTGAGAAATGGGCTCTCAGACCCCTCTCCTAATAAGCACGATTTAGCCTTTTTCAGCACCCGGCCCCACAGTTCTCTCTTTAGTGTTCCTCTAGAGCAGTGGTTCTCAACCTTCCTAATGCCGCGACCCTTTAATACAGTTCCTCATGTTGTGGTGACCCCCAATTTCATTGTTAGAAATGGAACATAATTAAAGCATAGTGATTCATCACAAAAACAATATGTAATTATATATGTGTTTTCCGATGGTCTTAGGCGACCCCTGTGAAAGGGTCCTTCCACCCCCAAAGGGGTCGCGACCCACAGGTTGAGAACCGCTGCTCTAAAGCAAGTTGTCCTTACATTTCCTTTTGTCATTTTCCTCTGTCTGAGCACACTGAATCCACTTTCATCAATGCCTGCAAGGCCGCAAGGTCGGCTGTAAATGGTGTTGAAATATTACAAAAACCATCCCCTGAAATGACCAGGACTTCAAAACTCACTGCTGAGCGCTCTGCTACACACACGGGTAGAGGCAGCTGTGGCTCCGTGCCTGTAGCTCCCTGTAGTTCAAAAATGAGCAGGAAGAAAGGCCGTGTTTTGTGCACAGGTAACGAGGAACAAAGATTCAGCCAGATCCATTGTCAGGAAGGCCGCGGAGCCGAGGCCTTCGCTGCAGGGGAGGACAGAACGCAGGACAATGGGAGATTGTGCTGGAGATCATTCCTGAACCCCGCGTCCTCCATGCGGTGCGGGGAGAATCTCTGTGACACACAGAGCAGGTTTAAAACGAAGGACACGCGGCAAAGGAGGAAGAGCGCCCCCCTGCCTTGAATTGTTAGTGTTGGGGTTAAAGGTCTCCCATTCATAGCTCTCTGTGCCGGCCCCCCTCCTCCAAAACCTACTTTGAATGATAACCCGTGGCTACTGGCTGGCATGGAATTCAGTCTTTACCTCTGACCACCCAGGAGGCTGCGGAAGCTCTCGGGAAAACACTCTTTTATGTGACCCTGAGCCCCTGGTACGAAGCGCGCACAGTGCCACTGTCTTCAACTTCTTCCCGGGGACAGACAAGCAGCAAAACAAACCACCGTTCAAAGTGGCACAAAACCAGGGAGAAGGGGGCAGAGCCCCAGTGGGAAGGCACCGCTGTGCCTCGGGCTTTCTGCTCTGGGGAATGGGATGTGCCACTTCGTAGCCCTGTGGCCATTCACAGGGACAGCCTCTCGGAGCCTGTTTCCCTTCGTGTAGAATGACAGAGCATCTAGTTCAGTGGTCGGCAAACTCATTAGTCAACAGAGCCAAATTTCAACAGGACAACGATTGAAATTTCTTTTGAGAGCCACATTGTTTAAACTTAAACTCTATAGGTAGGTACATTGTTATTAACTTAATTAGGGTCCTCCTAAGGCTTAGGAAGAGCCACACTCAAGGGGCCAAAGAGCCGCATGTGGCTCGCGAGCCGCAGTTTGCCAACCACGGGTCTAGTTGATTGAGCTGTTGTGGAAAGTGGAGGTAAGGTACATAAAAGGTGCGGTGACTGGCGCAAATGTTCTGCTCACGAGAGCAGCGATGACCGTTGTCATGTGTGTCAGCTTTTATCCTTTAGTTTGATCCCTGTCTTCTGAAATGCCTTCTTAGAGTAATGAGGTACAGTATGCAGCTACTTCGTCTGGGGAGAACTCTCAGGAGGTGTGGACCAATCGTTATTGGAGTGGGGTGCTTGAACCCTACCACTTACAATCAACCCTCTGCCAAATACCATGTTAGAAATACTGTCTGTTTTCCCAGGAGGTCTGCAAATACTGGGCCCCACACCTTGGTTCATTAGGATCCGTGTTCATCAATGACTCAGGGAGCCGAGGTGCCCCAGTCCGATTCGCAGCCCAAAGCTAGGACTCCTGGTTTCAGCGCTGTCACTGGTTAGGTTGTGGGGGGAGGAGAGGCACTAGGACCAAAGGGGATCCTGGGGTCTATACACAAACTCTTCGTTGACACGTCTTTTTTTGATCATGGAAGCACACTTCAAAATAATCTCCTTCTTTGCATTGAAAACACAGTGATATTCCTAACAAAAAAGGGAAAACATGAAAGCTCTCCTTCAGATACCAAATGCAGATGAAATGCCCTCTGCTGTTGATCCTTCCAAAGATCATGATACAAACTAGAGCTCTCAGGGGGTGGGCCTGATGCAGGGCTCCTCATGAGCAAACTGACAAAGGAGAGCGTTCTCCATTGTCCTGTGTCATCGCAGTGGTGATCAGGGCGGAAATGCCAGGTGAATCTTGAGGAAAATAAATCCTCAGAAGGGAAGGGCACAGAGGTAGCCTGGAGCATTCTGGGAATTGTGTAATCTCAGTCTAGAGCAGGACTTCTCCACCTTGGCCATGCTGCTGTTGTAGGTAAGTCTTCGTTGTGGGGAACTGTCCTGTGCATTGTAGGAAATTTAACAGCACACACACACACTCACACACACACACTCACACACACACATTCACTCACACGCTCTCACACACTCACACACGCACACACACTCACACCCTCTCACACTCACAAACACACATACTCACACACACATTCACAAACTCACACACACTCATACACTTATCCACACACACTCATCCATCCATACACACTCACTTATTCTCACACATACTCTCACACTCGCACATACACTCTCACACACACACTTAGATACTTCTCCACACACACTCACTCATTCACACATACTCAAACACTCACACACACTTATTCACACACACACACACACACACACACACACACACACACTTCAGCTGTGACAAGTGAAAATGAATCCAGTCGCTGCCAGGTGTCCCCTGGAGGCAAAATCACCCCTGTTGAGAACTGATGTAGACTTTCCATGTGGACAGCAACCTGGGGCCTGAATTCGGGCCCTGTCACACACGTGGATGCTTTTGACCTCCTGTAATGCTCTGTGGCCAAACTCTCGAGAATGTCAGGAGACATTAGGTTTCAAGAAGAAATGTAATGTTAATAGAGCACAGGTGTACACTTTTAGTTTATAAAGCATGGCATCGGTGAACCAGGAAACATTTTCAGAGCCATTTTATTAAACATTCGTTTTCTGCTGTTGCATCTTCCGCGTTATGCTGGGGAGCACGTGTCATTAGGGCTCTCTGTGTGGCAGAAAGGAAACGAGGCCAGGCGGTAGCACATGGGGCATTTCTAGGTCTGCCCAAAGCATGTCTTGGAATGACAAGGTGAGCGTTCCTGTGAATTCTCATACTATCGACTGTGACTGGCCCCCACCCCCTTTCCTATTTGGCACACCTGTCCTTATTCCTCTGTCTAGCTCTCTGATCAAGAAATGAATCAAGTGTCTGGAGAAATACACTTTGCCTTGAAGAAATGACCCAGGGACCCTGCACCCTCCTGTGGCTCTGGGGTGCCGTGTGAACTTGGGTTCACAGCTTCCTGGGCTGACATCCTAATGAAAGAAGAGGAGCGGGGGTTGCTGGATGCTCTAGCACCTGCTCGGGCTGCTCGGTCACCTGGGTGCAGCCTCCTGGGTGTCCCAGGCAGCAGAGGCAGGAGTCGCCCAGACCACATGGGTGATTGTGTTCCAGGTGCCATCAGGGGTGGTACTTGGAAGCGCCAGGTCCTGGAAAAATAAGAATCTGTTTGCCCGGAGGATGGAGCGGCTGCTGTAAGGACAGCAGTCCCTTTAGGGAAAGTCGTCCACAGCAGACAAAGGCTGAGTTATTTTTAAATCGCATGCTGTAAAGCCAGAGTTGAAATCGTTTCCTCTGGTGGTTTTTCTTTGAATAGCTTGGGGGTGTCCTGCCCTGGTAGACCCATACCCAGCTGAGGGTTGAGGATCCTCCCTTTCCAGGTCTGAGCACAGAGAACGGGTCACGATGAAGGCCGGCTACGGGTGATGAGAAAACCCTTCCATGTGGTGGTGGGGGGGGGGGGGGGGGGGCGGTGGTATAGGGGGGAGGGGAGCATCAGGGAGCACCCAGCAAGCCCATGTGAGACGGAATGGGCGTGGTTTTGCTGGCCTTGCCTTGGGAGAAGGTCTTGGCCTGGAAGGAAAATGCTGGCCGTGGGCCTGAGTAATGACGGCAGGAGGTCGTGTGCTGGTGGCTCTGGGATGAGGGGAGGTCCTGCCTAGGCACAGCGTTCTCTTGCTTTTCCCAAACTCTGGAGATGAAGCTTCTCCCCGTATGTGCAGCGGCTCATAAATTTTCCCACCAGCATAGTGGTGTCTGCAGGCGGCCTGGGGCCGGAAGGTGGCTGTGTGCTATGCCTTGGGGAAGAGCCTCAGGACCCAGGATGTCACCCAGGGGAGGGTGTCAGCTTCGTCCTGGCGGCAGGCAGACTTCCCTCTGTCTCCTCTAAGAGTGTGTCTTCGCCACCAAGCACCGTGGAGGATGGGCTTGCCCTGTTCTCCTGGCTTTGTCGTGCTGTGGCTCCTAGGACAGTGGTTCCCGGCCTCTGGCAAGAGGGATTTCAGATGGGCATGGACAGCAAGGCAACTCGGTTGTTAAGAGCGTAGGCGCCCGGCTGGGGTGGCTCAATGGTTGAGCATCAACCTATGAACCAGGAGGTCACAGTTCGATTCCTGGTCAGGGCACATGCCTGGGTTGTGGGCTCGATCCCCAGTAGGGGGCGTGCAGGAGGCAGCCGATCCATGATTCTCTCTCATCATGGATGTTTCTCTCCCTCTCCCCTCCTCCCTGAAATCAGTAAAACTATATTAAAAAGAAAAAAAAAGCGTAGGCTCTGGACCCAGGGACTTGGGCTCACATCCTGGACCCACACTGGCCTTGTCTGTACGTTTGTGTCGATTTCTCGACCTCTTTAAGCCTCGGTTGACTCATCAATAGAATGAAGACTGTACCTAGCCCCTCCCCTGGGGTTCAGCAGGGCTCAGTAAGGTAACTCACCACAGACGATGGCACGGTGTGTGGCACACGGATACTCCGCGCTGGGAGCTGTCCTGGTGGTGCTAGGGGCATGGCCTAGGGAAGAGAATGACTGTGTTCCCAACCCCTGCCCTTCATCTGGGATTTGAGTCCAGTCCCCTTCCCTCTGCAAAAATAGGACATGCATTTTTTTCCCCAGCATGCCCAATATTCTGTGCAGCCTGCTTGACTTTTCTCCTTCATTCTGGGCTGGAACAAGTCCCTCCCCTGATGCTAACCCAGCATCCTCACTTCTGGGTGAGCGCCTCCCGATCTGCCAGGGTGGAACCAGCCACGCGCTCGGTGCCCAGCCGCCCTCCTCCCCTGCCCCCAGCTCTCGTGAGAGCCCTGGCAACCCTGGCCGCCGGCCTGCCTGCCTGCCCGTGTGCTGCAGGCACGTGGCCATGCCCTGTGGAGCTCGCCCAACTCCGGGTGGCCTGCTGGCTGGGCTTCCTCCCCCTCCCCCACGCCGGCTTCTCTCCCCAGGCGAACCTCAGCAAGCCAGCCAGAAATTGTAACGCTGGCCCTGGCATGGGAAAGCTGAGCTCCGGAGGGCAGTTCGGATGCCAGGGAAACCTGCTCTCTCCAGCATCCTAGCCAGACCCCAAACTTGGCCCTCTCTCCTGCCCGTCTGCCCGGAGGCCCTGTCTTCGCCGCGCCGCTGTGGTGGGCAGGATTCCTGTAGGCCGGCTCCTGCCAAGGGTCTTGGCAGAGCCTTCCCCGTTCAGCACTGTGCCTACCAGACTCGAAAAACAGCAGCGTGCAGACAGAACGAGGTGGAGGAAAGGGAAGGGCTGAGGAGGTGGGGAGAATAGAGGCCTTGATGCCACCCTAAGGTAGAAGGCAGAGGAGGAAAAGACAGCGGTGATTTATTAGGTTTTTTTCCCCCGAAACCTCGCTGCCAGCCAGCACTAATCACTTTTACCCAGGAGTCATTTTTTATGTCTCAGCAGTGAGAAGAGAGGGAAGAGGGGAGGTGGTAGGGGAAGTAATAAGATTTTTTAAGACAAATAAAACATTGGAAAAGAATATGTGAGAGAGGGACGGGGGGACAGGGTCTGTATTTGACTCTGTGATGGGAATGGGTGAGAATATTTTTCATTTACTACCTGGCATAATATCTGGAATCGTCCCAGCAAATGTCGACCTGAAACCACTAAGCCATTGTTTTGGAATAAACAAAGTTCCTTAAGATAGAGGTGCCTGCTGGCTCACCTTTCACAAGGTCCATCAGAATGTCCTGCGTTTGAGACACTGTTCGCATCCGGGCAATAATATAGCGACCTGTTAGAGCATAGGATGCGGCAAGAAGCAGGCTGGCTGTGCGCCCCACTCCGCCATGCTTGCCTGGGTCTGCGGCAGGTCATTTAAACACTCGGAGCTTCTGATTTCCCATCTGGAACTTTGGAACCATCATTGGCCTGCCTCGCGGGAGCGTGGAAGGTCCCGTGAGCCAAGGCGCGTAGAGCACTGGGTGTGGCCCCGGGCACACACACACAGGAAGTGCCCAGTCACAGCCGCCTCGGGAGGCATCCTCATACCACCTGATCCCATTTCTCACGGGAGGCCCTAGCACAAGAGTCTCTGTGCTTTTCCCTTCCTAGCCGATTGCAGCGGTTCTCAACCTGTAGGTCGCGACCCCTTTGGCCATCAAACGACCCTTTCACAGGGGTCGCCTAAGACCATCCTGCATATCAGATATTAACATTATGATTCATAACAGTAGCAACATTACAGTCATGAAGTAGCAACGAAAATAATTTTATGGTTGGGTCACAACATGAGGAACTATATTTAAAGGGCCAGACGGTTGAGAACCACTGGATTAAGGCCTTTGCTCAAGCCATTTACGCTTCTCCTCTGCTTCTCTCCCTACGTCGTGTCTGCCCCTCTTAGCCTCTGAGGTTTAGGTCACCTCGGGTTGCTAACTGGAATCTTCATTCATTCCTCCTCGCTCATGAGATTAAAAAATCAAACAAACAAAATGCAGTTCAAGTAAGTTCTTGATTAGATTTCCCCATGGCACATTTGCCAATCAGTCAATCAATCAACGTTGCTGTTGCATTTTTAATCATAGGCATCAGTCATTGTACCTGAAGGCTGTAGAATGGCCTTGGGGATAAATAACTGGAAAGGCATGGGATGGTGCTGGGAGGGGAAGGCGGGGAGAAAGGTCTCATGCAGTTCCTCCTCCTGCTGGCCAGCAAGACCCGACATAGGCATCCAGAATAACAATGCTCCTGCCCCCAAAGGGTCCTGTAACGGGCAAGTCCTTGCTCTTTCGGAACATGCGCTTTCTTGTCTGCAGGGTAACATCTTTGTCGGGTTTGTGTGAGCTTTCTCGAGCTGACATGCATGAAGGGTCCAGCGTGGCGCTGGCACACAGGAGGCCAGCCTCTGCCACAGGTCAGTTCCCTTAACTTTTCTCTAGTAAATGACACGAAGGTTAGGAAGCTACAGGGGAAGTGGTAGGAGCAAGGAGCCACGTGGACAGTCCCCAGAAGTGGCGTTGGCTTTGGGCTGCACCCTGGGGAAGACAGACAAGGGCACGATTTAGCTGCTGGTCTCAAGGAGTTGACCATGGAGTAGGGAAGATAGAACGTTTAGGTAAAAGGAGGAATGACAGGGCAAACTAGCATGTTCTCGGTGCTATACAGTGAGTACAGGTTGGCCTCCAGGATTTGTTGAAAAGAGGAGAGTGAAAGAAAGTGAGCGAAAACTTTCAAAATAAATAAGGGAACCGTGCAGACAATGAGATCTGCCAGACCTCACAGGAAGCAGCCACTGCCCAAGGCAAGAGTGCCCTGGGCGAGGCTCCTTGGAAGGCATGGACCTTCAGCTGGGCCTGGCCTGAGAGGTGGAGGAGCCAGAAGGGTGAGTGGGCCACGGTGCCCCAGAGTTGTGGAAGCAGGAGTGCCCACAGGGTGTTTAGGGAACAAGGTGTAGATCCAATTTGGCTGGTGCAGAAAATTCATCTGGAGGAGGCAGGGAGATGAGTCCGGAGAGGTGGGTGCCAGCCAGGCTGGCAGCTTCGGGGGCGCCAGGCTCCAGCGCCTGAGCCCGGTCCAGCAGGCCACAGGGAGCCCTGGAAGGGTTTTGAGTAGGGAAGTGGCCTGTGGACATTTCCCCTTGGGTTCAAGGTTGGATTGGAAACATTTTTAGACACTTCACAATAGTTTCCTCTGGCAAGCCGGGACTTCCTTATTATTATTGTTTTGAAAATAAATACTCTGCCCTGAACATCAAACAGCTTTCCAAAACACAGTGTTCTAATGATCTAGACAAAGTAATGCAAAAACACAGGGTTTAGGTTTCACTTATAAAGCCCATAATTTGGGTGATTGGGGGAAACACTCTTTGGCAAGAAAACCATGTGAGGGATTTGAATGGTTCCGAATTTAAAAGCCTGAAAGCAGGCCTGGTCTCACAGGAGTAGAGAAATAGATTTTCATAAACCCCAACCCATTCACGTTCATCACTTTCAAATGCTTCTATTTTATAAAGCTCACGAAGTTTGCAAACAAGTATAAGGAACAGATTTCTGTGAGTGTGTGTGTGTCTTTGATGTGTGTACGTGTCCACATGAGAGAAAGAGAGCGAGAAAGCAGGCGTTACTGCCTCAGTGATACAGATAGTCCTTGGTTATGAGGACTAACCTGCCGCAGGAATATCAAGCTAAAAATACTTAGCTACGTTTCCGGCCAGCTCATTAATTTTACTCCTGAGAGACAAAGGAATCATTATTGCAGTTTTGCATTCTTGAGTCCCGACCTTGTATGTGTGGCTTCCTTCTTCCCTGGAACGGGAACTAATTGCATGTCGCTCGGAGATACGGTGGCTCTGGGGGTGTGAGTGTTCTCTGTTGGGGAAAGGAGCATTGAGGGAGGACACGGGTTCTTGGGGGATTGGGGGGGGGGCTGCCGAGCGGCCCAGGCATGACATGACGTGCTCAAGTACCTCTGAAGTGGGCTTTGCCAGCCAGCCAGGCGTACAGAGAGCCGGGGAGTTGTCATGACCCAGACCAGTTCGCTCAGATAACAGGTAACAGTGGACATGTGCAATCTCACCTCCAGCTATGCAGAGCAGACAGTGACAGGAGTGTTGGCAGAGTTGAGTGTCTGTTGGGGGAAAACCACACAGTCCTTGTTTCTGTCCAGTTGGCTTCTGGTGGATACACACTCCATGACTTCATGGGAAGGTTCCTGAAATGTCTCCCTCCTTCTCTGACTTGACCAAATACTGTTATTGTCTCAACTCGCTCCCTCCCCATCCAACTCATCCCGGGCACCCGGCCTCGGGTTCCGTCCTGAGCAGGCCCACGGTTCCCCAGAAGTTTTGCTTTTGGAAGTTTCATCTAGGGTTTTGTTTTGTGTGTTTGTTTGTTTTTTTTTCCATGAATGATTTTTGGAAGATGCTTTGGAATCTGGGGCCTTATCATCAGAGACGGCTCATGGCTAATTAAACCCACTTCCCTCTCCAATCTTGCCGGGGAGACCCGAGATTCCTGAAAGCAATGAGTGCATGCTACAGAGAGATGCTCGAGGGAGCCTCCACACTAAATCATCTGTGACAAAATGTTCTCTCAGGAAGTGGGGTTGCATAAATGGATCAGCAGAAATAAATGCTTTGGCAGAATCTCCTTGAGTGGGAAAGAGCAGCGCTTTCTTTCCTAATTAGCTCTGGGTAGCAATGTGCCTGGATGTCTTTGCTGAGAAACCCAGGTGTGGACAGGGGGGCCAACAAGGGAAATCTCTGCACTGCTCTGTAAGTGCTGCTGCCCTGAATGGAAAGAGTTAAGCAAGGCTGTTCATTCATGCGCAATAAATGCCTCTTGAATTGGATGGAATGGGAAAAGCAAAAGCTTGCTTGGGGAAGGATGCCACCAGGCCCTGACCAATGGGAGCCCATGCTGTAAACCAGATGAACCAGATCATCTGGCTGGGCAGTAAGCAGATTACCGGGAGCGGAGCTCGCCGTACCCAAGACGGGCAGAGTGCTAAGGAGCGCCACAACAGCTAAACTCCACCTGCCCTGAGCCCTGGAACAGGAGACTTAAGTCGCCTTAGAGTGGAGTCATTATGCCGTGGCCTTGAATCGATGAAGGAGGCTTTTACTAGAGAAAAAAAAAACAAAACAGGATGGTGGTCAATACCCTCATGTCATTCTCTCACTTTCTTCTTGACTCTCCCTGCAAGAAGGAAACGTGGCAGGGCGGTCTCCAGGTGGGAAAGTGGAGCCTTCCGTCAGAGTGGAATGGAACCAGGAGGAAACTGAGGAAACAAAAGTAAATTATTTGGCCCAGGCTGGTGTGGCTCAGTGGTTGCACCTGTGAACCAGGAGGACATCGTTGGATTCTCAGTCAGGGCACGTGCCCGGGTTGTGGGCTCCATCCCCAATGGAGCATGCAGGAGGCAGTTGATCCATGATTCTCTTTCATCAATGATGTTTCTATCTCTCTCTCCCTCTCCCTTCCTCTCTGGAAGACAAGTGTGAAGATAGTTTTTACACAGAGGGGATAACTGAAAGTTGTTTAGTTAAGACTTGGTTTGAACCTGACATGACCGTTTCCCAACCAGATGAGAGATGAGGAGTTCTTGGCAATGGTCTTGATACAGTCTGTTATGTGATGTCCATATGGGTGAGGCAGGTTAGAGCTTTTGAAGGTACACCAGCCCAGCGTTAAGGACAGCGTCAAACTAGGCAAAATTTTCTCCTCTCAAGAGGGAGGTTTGAACCTAGCTAAAGCTCCCTCAGTGTATTTTTACATCCAATCAAATGTCTCTGAGTTTTATAAGAGAGTGCACACACACCGTGCTCCTAACTTTAAATCAGCGAAATGCATATGACATCATAGCAGTACCCATGGGATGTGAAAGCGGGGATGGTGCTAAGCATTGGCTGTAAGAGGCTGCAGGACATCAACTCATATTAGAAACGATGCTGGTTCGGGAATTGAGTCCGCTCCCAAGAGGCTGAGTGGTGGCTGCATTGCCAAAGTGTGTGTTCTCTTTCCTTCCCCAGCTCTCCCTTCTGATTACAGGCAGCTTAAAATACATGTGGGCATATCTCAGTGGCCAAAAACCATGGAGATCGGGATGAAATCATTCTCAAGGCAGAAATAGCAAGCTTTCACGAGGATATTCAGAGAAAAGCAGTCCTAATAGCTCCAGCACGTCACTGTCAGGCCCTCGGGCACTGAACTAGGTTGGGTTTGGAGTCGGAGGTCTCCTGAGAAGCCAGGATACCCGGACAAGTCACGTACACTCTGAACCCCTCGTTTTCTCCCCTGGAACACGGCAGCCTGTTGCACAGGACGTCCTGGGGGTTAAATGACATTGGGTTGGCTAACCAGTGAGCCAACCTGGGTCTGGGCCTGGGCAGAGCTGTCACCCAGCCAGCTTTAATTCCGAGTGAAAATCTGGTGTTTAAATACGCTTTTTCTAA